CCCGGCTTTTGGAGGAGCCTGATTGCCAGCCTCCTTCCTCATGACTATGGCCCTGGGGTGTATTGCCATTTAAAAAGACTATTTGGGGCTTATTGGCTTCTAAAGACAGTTTCTTCCCATTGGAATCCATGGGAAGGTGTGTTTCTTCCCTTCCCCGGTTTCCTGTCTATTGTTCTCCAGCAGGGAGTTGTCCCAGGGACACTGCCAGACCAGTGGGAACTGGTTTGGGCAGGAAAAGCCATGCTTCCTTTGGTCACAAAGGACTTCTAACTAACTTTTGAACTAATGGAAGGATTTGCATGATTTTGGGGTATGTTTGTATTTGGGATGTGCTGATTAAAGGACCACTCTAGGCACCCAGACCACTTCAGCTTAATGAAGTGGTCTGGGTGCCAGGTACCTCTAGGATTAACCCTTTTTTTTTTATAAACATAGCAGTTTCAGAAAAACTGCTATGTTTATACTGAGGGTTAATCCAGCCTCCAGAGCCTCTAGTGGCTGTCTCATTGACAGCCGCTAGAGGCGCTTGCGTGCTTCTCACTGTGAAAATCACAATGAGAGCACGCAAGCGTCCATAGGAAAGCATTGTAAATGCTTTCCTATGCGACCGGCTGAATGCGCGCGCGGCTCCTGCCGTGCATGCGCATTCAGCCGATGACGTCGCGAGCAAGGAGGAGAGGAGGAGTACAGCTCCCCACCCGGCGCTGGAGAAAGGTAAGTGTTTAACCCCTTCCTCTCTCCAGAGCCCGGCGGGAGGGGGTCCCTGAGGGTGGGGGCACCCTCAGGGCACTATAGTGCCAGGAAAACAAGTATGTTTTCCTGGCACTATAGTGGTCCTTTAATAATATGTGACTTTTATTAATATTGGATGTATGGTTTAAGAGTTATGAAAGTTGGGTAAAAAGTGTGTTTTAAAATGTATTGATAATTGGGCTACTTCTCAGGCTAAGGGGAGGAGATGTGTGGGATGTAACCATTGTGTGATTGGGTAATGTATAATTGTCTGTGGGCGTCTCCCTTGCAGGGGAGAATTGCATAAAAGCAGAGTATGTGCCATTAAAGGTTCAGATCATCTTGTACCTTCATGCAGTTTCGGCTCATGTTTGGGGGATTGGAGAAACTACACTCTGGGGATTGCTATAATCACTAAGCTCTGCTAAGAGCTTGTTCCTGTTCCTGCTCTCTGGAATTTGGAGAGGTCGACCTACTGGAAGCTGGACCCTGGTCTTGGGTCCAGCGTGGGTGGAGACGGCGAGACCCCAACCAAGCTGCGGCGGTTCGTGGGGTCTGCAGTGGTTATGGTGTCGGGCAGAGTGCTTGGAGTCCTCGGAAAGCACTAGGAGCATCCGTCGGCGGAAGGTACCCGGTCGGGGTGCCAGCGGTTCCGTCACATCCCTGATACACCCTGACACAGAGCAGAATAGAGACTTTTCCTCCTACATAGGGTCACTTGGCAGATATGGATTGACTGTTCCCCCTACATACACACTATTGGATCTCGCAAAACTTACCAAGGATCTAAATCATGTTCCCGTATCGTACATGAAAAACCTACTCATACAAAATCTCTTCCCAAACGTCATTTCATTCAAAGTGGAGAGAATGTTAAAAAAAATATTTTTGTTCTGAGTGTGAGAAATGCTTTTCAGCGCTTCTAATCTTAAGCATCATTTGAGGAGCCATACAGGAGAGAAACCTTATTTTTGTTCTGATTGTGGGAAATATTTCTCTCAAAGAGGCCACTTTTATATTCAATCTATAACAGTGAAAAAAGTTTTTTGTTTTTAAATGCAAGCTATTGTGACACCAGTGAGTGAGTGGTGGCACTGGGCACAGTATCCACTGTGAGCCTGACACACCCGCTTTGAGACATCTAACTGCTATTCAATCTATAACAGTGAAAAAAAGTTTTTTGGTTTTAAATGCACGCTATAGAGACACCAGATATGAGTGGCAAAGTACACAGGCAAAGGTCTGCAGAGCACACACTGAAGGAGGCCTGACACCCGCTTTAAGGACACTGACTGCTATTAGCTTACACTGAAAAACTTTTTTTCTTTGTAAAAGCACGCCATAGAGACACCAGATATGAGTGGCAAAGTACACGGGCAAAGGTCTGCAGAGCACACACTGAAGGAGGCCTGACACCCGCTTTAAGGACACTGACTGCTATTAGCTTACACTGAAAAACTTTTTTTCTTTGTAAAAGCACGCTATAGAGACACCAGATATGAGTGGCAAAGTACATGGGCAAAGGTCTGCAGAGCACACGCTGAAGGAGGCCTGACACCCGCTTTAAGGACACTGACTGCTATTAGCTTACACTGAAAAACTGTTTTTCTTTGTAAAAGCACGCTATAGAGACACCAGATATGAGTGGCAAAGTACACGGGCAAAGGTCTGCAGAGCACACGCTGAAGGAGGCCGGACACCCGCTTTAAGGACACTGACTGCTATTAGCTTACACTGAAAAACTTTTTTTCTTTGTAAAAGCACGCTATAGAGACACTAGATATGAGTGGCAAAGTACACGGGCAAAGGTCTGCAGAGCACACGCTGAAGGAGGCCTGACACCCGCTTTAAGGACACTGACTGCTATTAGCTTACACTGAAAATCTTTTTTTCTTTGTAAAAGCACGCTATAGAGACACCAGATATCAGTGGCAAAGTACACGGGCAAAGGTCTGCAGAGCACATGCTGAAGGAGGCCTGACACTTGCTTTAAGGACACTGACTGCTATTAGCTTACACTGAAAAACTTTTTTTCTTGGTAAAAGCACGCTATAGAGACACCAGATATGAGTGGCAAAGTACACGGGCAAAGGTCTGCAGAGCACAAGCTGAAGGCCTGACACCCGCTTTAAGGACACTGACTGCTATTAGCTTACACTGAAAAACTTTTTTTCTTTGTAAAAGCACGCTATAGAGACACCAGATATGAGTGGCAAAGTACACGGGCAAAGGTCTGCAGAGCACAAGCTGAAGGAGGCCTGACACCCGCTTTAAGGACACTGACTGCTATTAGCTTACACTGAAAAACTTTTTTTCTTTGTAAAAGCACGCTATAGAGACACCAGATATGAGTGTCAAAGTACACGGGCAAAGGTCTGCAGAGTACACGCTGAAGGAGGCCTGACACCCGCTTTAAGGACACTGACTGCTATTAGCTTACACTGAAAAACTTTTTTTCTTTGTAAAAGCACGCTATAGAGACACCAGATATGAGTGGTAAAGTACACGGGCAGAGGTCTGCAGAGCACACGCTGAAGGAGGCCTGACACCCAGACGCTTGCAGACAACTAACTGCTATTCAATCTATTACAGTGAAAAAAAGTTTTTTGTTTTTAAATGCAAGCTATTGTGACACCAGTGAGTGGTGGCACTGGGCACAGTATCCACTGTGAGCCTGACACACCCGCTTTAAGGACACTGACTGCTATTCAATCTATAACAGTGAAAAAGTTTTTTGTTTTTAAATGCAAGCTATTGTGACACCAGTGAGTGAGTGGTGGCACTGGGCACAGTATCCACTGTGAGCCTGACACACCCGCTTTAAGGACACTGACTGCTATTCAATCTATTACAGTGAAAAAAATCTCCTCACTCCTGGCTCCACTCCCACTGTTCCATCCCCCTCCATTTCTACAGTTCCCATGTTAGAACCTCCTCCTCCTCCCTCTGATATCAATGCTACGTCACTCATTTCCTCCATCTTGGCTTCGTTAACTACTCCACCTATTCCTCCTTCCCCTCCACCTCCTTCTCCACAACCTGCTCTTCCTGTTTCTGTTTCAGATCCTTCTCCTTCTCCTACCTCTAACTCTGGTGTTACTACCCACGATCTCGCGTCACTCATCTCCTCCCTTTCCAACCACCTGTCCAACCAGCTTACCCAACCCGCATCTTCACCCACTCTGGTCCCTGTTCCTACCCCTCCAATAAACGCCCCCAGTTATCCACTTATGATTGTTAGGACAAATGAGTCTGTCACATCAGGACAACCTCAGGCTGCTGGTGCTTCCCCCGCTGCCTCAGGTTTCCATCCCACTACGTCTCAGTTAGTCACCCCCCCAAACTATCGCTGTTAGCCCTCCCGATTCTGATACCCCAATGGCCCCGGTCCCCAACTCACTTGATGTAGTCAGCTATCATGGTCCCCCAGTCCTGCCAGGGGACAATAATGTGCCGGAGCTTAGCCCATTCCGTCCCTCAAATAACAGACCTACCCAAAGACAAAATATTGCAGCTGCTCACCTTCCTACCTCATCAGCAGTAGAAGGAGCATTTAACCCATCCCAAGCTGCGACTCTGGTAACCTCCCTCCCCGATCCAGAGAAACAACCCATGCCCTTTTTCTGAAGAATTGCACAGATTCGCAAAACATACTCAGCATCTTGGCGAGATTTGTATAGTTTGTGTGAGATCAAGGCTGGGGATGCCTATTGACCAATTATGGAAAGGAGTTTTAACGATGCTGTACTCACAACTGATACAGATTTTCAGTCGGGTATTGTTTTCTGTGAACAACTCAAAGCCTGGGCTCAGGATAAACTAGCTGACCAGGCAACCTGCATAAATGATATCATACAAGATAAACTTGAGTCAGTGGAAAAATATCATTCCAGGTTAACCCAAACATTTTCTGATCTTGGGTTCAGTGTTACTCAGATGCTGTCAGCCGCCTTTGTGGCTGGTCTTAAAGAGACTATCAGGAAAGGTTTAGTACTTGCACATCCTGAATACAGAATTATTCCTTTGGACACTCTCTTGTTGGTAGCAAAGCATCTAGAATCAGTTCTGCAACCAACACATAAGAAGAGTAACCCACTCATGTTTTCTACCTCTATTCCCATTATCAGACCCAGAGTCACCCCACATTGGCTATTATGCCTGGTACACAGGGACAGCCCTCAGCACTCAGACCTCCGGCCAGGGTTTGCTATAATTGTAACTCACCAGGTCATCTCCGTAGGGATTGCCCGCAACCACAGGCAACTCGCCCACTAACTATCAGACCTTCTTTACACCCCTACACACACACAACCACATATGGGAGTCCTCAACATGGTTACCCTTCACAGACACATCCACAGTCACACCGACCATATTACCCACCGCAGGATTACAACCAAACTACTTATCAACCCAGTCAATTTAACACGCATCCTCCCACAGATACTTATGATTCAAATGACATTCAGCAGACTGATAACTCAGCATCTACACATTATCGTCCTGCCCACCAAAACCATCAAACAAGTCATCCTACTACACATCATTACACTGGCCCCGATCAGTCTTACCTAGATCTCGTACAATAGGTAACAGGCAAACCTGTGTCTGACACCCCTGTTATGGCAGTGTCTGCAGGGGATAAAGAGGGGCCCCTAGCTACCATAGTACTACCAGTCGAGGGTCATCCCACTACCATGCTAGTTGACACAGGTGCAGCCCGCAGTGTTCTCAGAGAACAAGACCTGCCAGATCTTTCTTATTTGTCTGACCTCGATGTTTCTTGTGTGGGTGTTGATGGTACCCCCCGAAATAACCCATTAACAAAACTCTTGCGTGTCGGTTCTAACATCCTTTCCCGTTTCATTGTTTTATCTACCTGTCCTATTAACCTCTTAGGAGCAGATGTACTGTCTCGCCTACAGGCTTCTATCTCTTTCACTGCCGATGGTCAGGTCCAACTACTTACCCCACTTTCTCGTAAGGACACTTCAGTTCTTTGTTCTCTACCCCTACTCATGCACATGACTTCCCCCACAGAGGAAACAATGGTCACTGATGCCCCCAGTGCGCTGGATTCCATCCCAACAAAACTCTGGTCTACAGGCCCAGATGATATTGGACGTCTCCGAGTCCCACCTGTGGTAGTCACACTCATCGAAGGAGCTACCCCGCCAAGGCGACCACAGTACCCTTTGAAACACGCACAAGCTCTTGCCATCTCTAAGCAGGTTGAAAGTCTGGTTGCAAAAGGAGCCTTAATCAAATGTGTTTCAAAGTGTAATACTCCCCTGTTTCCTGTAAAGAAGAAAACTGAAAAAGGCCAACCAGACCAATATCGCATGGTATCAGGATCTCCGTGCTGTCAATGAGGTTACTAAATGGGACACAGCTGTCGTTCCAAATCCCCATACATTATTGTCACAAGTGACTTCAACTGCTAAATTCTTCACAGTGGTGGATCTTGCCAACTCCTTCTTCAGTGTGCCTTTGGATCCCTCATGTCAGTATTTATTCGCTTTCACACATGACCGCCAGCAATATACACGGACTGTTATGCCTCAAGGTGCGCAAAATTCTCCAACACAATTTGCCAAAGCAATGTCTACTGTACTAGAACCCTGGCAGAAATCTCACCCAGATGTAGTTCTGCTCCAGTATGTTGATGATTTGCTACTCTGTGCAGATGACTTTCCAACAGCTGAACGCCATTCGGTGAATCTTCTCTGTTTCCTCGCAGAAGAGGGTTGCAAAGCCTCTAAAGCTAAACTCCAATGGTGCTGGCCCACAGTGGTCTTCTTGGGACATTGTCTTTCCAATGGCACCCGTCACCTGACAAGAGACAGAGTTCGTGCTATTACCAATCTTTCCCTTCCATCTACTCACCAGGCCCTCCATGCCTTCTTGGGCCTTATCACATACTGCAGATCTTGGATTCCTGGGGCCTCTCAACTAATGCAACCCCTCTACGACGCCTTGAAGAACCCTTCACATTGTCTTCAACAGCCAGCAGTTGTTACTTTACTCTACAAAGGGCAATATCTTCAGCCCCTGCTCTGGGCCTCCCTAACTATGAGTTGCCGTCTAAACTGTTTGTTTCTGAGAAGATGGGCCATGCCTCCGGGGTCCTTACTCAGTCTTATGGGCCCCGTCAACGCCCCATAGGATACTTTTCCTGCATGCTTGACCCCGTAGCCAGAGGGGGTCCTTCCTGTTTGCATGCTGTCTTTGCTGCAAGTGCCCTCCTGGATAAAACTAATGATTTTTTTCTTGGACATAAACTGACTGTTCTGGCTCCACATGACATCGCTGCCATTCTGAACCAAGTCCAACCGAAACACCTCTCTTGCCAGAGACACCTTCGCCTTCAAACTTCTCTTCTTTTACCAGACAACGTTACTCTGCAACGATGTTATACTCTGAATCCAGCCACTCTTCTGCCCCTTCCCAAGGGGGGAGTTCCACAATACTGGTACAGTATACATATACATCCTGATGTTTACATGGGACTGCAAATTGAAAAGCCCACAATTCCGCATGATGAACAACCTGAAACACAACTACATTGCACCCTGTGGTTTTGAGATACTCCAGGTCCTGACTCATACTATGAAGAAGAATTGCTTAGCCTGGTGGAGGTGCAGATCACGCTGACAGACCTATTCTGTGACTCCAAAGGAAACATTGTCATCCTAGTCTGTCTACCGATGGAGGTATCACATTTGTATCGCCATTGGGAGGTGGCTGTTCCCCATGTTTCTTTCACCAAGTCTCCAAATCTCTCATGGAAAGAACCTGGGCCAATGGCCAAGGAATGGAGCACTGCAACACACAACCAACTCACAGTGACGGGTCACTAAGAAGACCATAAATTACAAAACAATCGGTTACCCCCGATATCAGGCAGAGATATGTGAAGATGTGCCTCCTGCAGAACCAGACCCAGAAGCTCCACATGATTGCTTTGAACAGATGAAGATGGAAACCACCTATCTTCCCACAATGCACGAAACTGACTTGCCAAACCCTGATTGCACACTGTGGATGGTTCCAGATTTGCAGATGAACAGGGTCAATACTATGCCGGGTATGCAGTCACCACGGAAGACCAGATACTCCAAGCATCCTCACTTCCCTCCTCCAAATCAGCCCAAGAAGCCGAGCTGATAGCTCTTACAGTGGCATGCAGAATATCAGAAGGAAAGCGTGTCAACATTTACACAGACTCCAGGTATGCCTTAGGAGTAGCGCATGACTTTGGCTTAATCTGGAAGACCAGAGGATTCCTTACAGCAGGGCCAGACTGAGGATACGAAGCAGCCCTGGAAAAAAATCTATGCCAGCCCCATAAGTCATTGTGCTATGTAGGGTGTATATATATATATTTAAATAGTTGGCTGCACTCTCGGATTTCCTGAAAATGTAACTTTTATTGAAATATTTAAGAGAAGATCAACGTTTCAGTCCCTCTTGCGGACTTTCGTCATGATCCTGATGCAAGTCCACAAGAGGGACTGATACGTTGATCTTCTCTTAAATATTTCAATAAAAGTAAAATTTTAAGGAAATCCGAGAGTGCAGCCAACTATTTCAATTGCCTATATATATACTGGATACTGGAGCCCTGGTGATGCAACAGTATATATATATATATACAAAAAATAAATAAATAAGCAAGGCACTCCTCCTGAAATTCCTCTTGTAGTGGATCAAATGCCTAGGTGCAATCCCGCGTCCAAATATACATAAATCAATAAGGGGAGCACACCAGGGCTTCAATATAGTGAAAAAAGTATTTACTGTATCCAAAACATGGTACAAATTCTGTGCAAAGGAAATCAACGTTTCGACCCTGCTGGGGTCTTTATCAAGATCACAGTGAAGTGTTGTTATGGTGAACAATATATACATACAAATAAAATAACGCTTACCAATCAGATAATCGGGACCCCGATCAGCTACAGGACCCGGAAGTGAGGAGACCACGTGAACGGTGCGTAGCATGTGACTAGGTTGCTAAGCAACCTACGTGGCTATACTGCAAACAGAAGATCGGGCGACCGGCACCGCCGTGCTACCCGGAAGTGCTCAAACCACGTGGGGGTTGTCATGTGACAAGAATACATGTGACGAGGTTGCTAAGCAACCAATCTAACAGTGTCTAAACTTACTTCTCTAAACAGAGATCGAAGATACAGACAACGAGCACTACATATGGAGGAAAAAGTCAAATAAAAACCCCAATCTACAGATGATCTATCAGTGAAAAAGAAGTGCAAAGAAAATATATAGATGTGGAAATCTGTGAAAAAAACAATACATATAAACTACAAGACAGATCAATCCCTGTTGGGGAAATAATAAAATCCATTCTACACGTACAATATATATCCAAAAACATATATATATATCAACAGTTCTTTTTAATGTGCTGTTATCTAGCCAATAATAAATAAATAAATTAAAAAATATTAACCATACTAATCACTCTGACTGAATGTAGAAAAAGGACTCTATGTCATAGATGTGTAATAAACAGCTGTACTCAACGCCTATCTCTGTATTTATCATAACATACAAAAATGACCACATCCTACCTAAGCTTACTCTCAGTGGTCAATCTTTACTCTAATAAATGCAAAAAATGTACACAAAGATGTAAAAAAAGATGTAAAAAAATGTGGTTGCAACAGTATCTCTACTCTATCTAGATAAAAAAATTCATATCATACTGTTATCCTAGATTCTATATGGACACTTGAAAGAGAATCAGTATAAACTATATATATTAAAGAAACATCGAAAGAACTAGATGTTCATTAAGTCCCTAATAATAATATTTATTTGTATGTATATATTGTTCACCATAACAACACTTCACTGTGATCTTGATAAAGACCCCAGCAGGGTCAAAACGTTGATTTCCTTTGCACAGAATTTGTACCATGTTTTGGATACAGTAAATACTTTTTTCACTATATTGAAGCCCTAGTGTGCTCCCCTTATTGATTTATATATATATATATATATATGTATATATATATATATATATATATATTATTTTTTTATTGATACATTTCTTCTTCTAATTCAAAATATTAGTTATTTTAGGGTAATTCAATTATACAGTAAAGCATACTCACACACAGACAGACAATCTTACTGATGCACACAAATAGGCTCATTGACAGACAATGACACACACAGACAAGGTTACTGGCGCACACACAAATTTAGTACAGACAAACTCTGATACACACACACAAGCTTACTATAGACAAGCTCACTGTCACACACACACGCTCACTGCAGACAAGCTCACTGATGCGCACACACTTTCCCTACAGACAAGCCCATTGACACACACGCTCCCTACAGAAGAGCTCACTAACACACAGATTCACTACAGACAAGCTCACTGACACACACATGCTCACTACAGACAAGCTCACTGGCACACATATGGTCACTACAGACAAGCTCATGATCACACTCATGCTTACTACAGACAAGCTCACTGTACACACATGCTCACCACAGACAGGCTCCGACACACCCATGCTCCTTACAGACAAGCTCACTAACACACACACGATCCCTACAGACAAGCTCACTGACACACATACAAGCTCACTCACTAGCAGGCACACACACACACAAACTCACTAGCAGGCACACACACACACACAGGCTCCCTCACTAGCAGATGCGCGCACACACACACAGAGGCAGACAGTCACTGACACCCAGGCAGACAGCCACACACACACACACAGGCAGACAGTCATTGACACCGAGGCAAACACCCACACATACAAAGACAGGCAGAAAGCCACACACATACACAGACAGACAGCCACACACTCACACACAGGCAGACAGCCACACACAGGCAGACAGTCACACACTCAGTCAGACAGTCACACACAGACAGTCACACACTCACAGGCAGTCACACACAGACAGTCACACACTCACACAGACAGTCACACACTCACACAGACAGTCACACACTCACACAGGCAGTCACACAGACAGTCACACAGACAGTCACACACAGACAGTCACACACTCACACAGACAGTCACACACTCACAGGCAGTCACACACTCACACAGACAGTCACACACTCACAGGCAGTCACACACTCACACAGAGACAATCACACACTCACACAGAGACAGTCACACACTCACAGGCAGTTACACACTCACACAGACAGTCACACACTCACAGGCAGTCACACACTCACACAGAGACAGTCCCACACTCACAGGCAGTCACACACTCACACAGAGACAGTCACACACTCCACAGGCAGTCACACAGAGACAGTCACACACTCACAGGCAGTCCACACACTCCACACAGAGACAGTCCCGCACACTCACAGACAGTCACACAGGTCACACAGAGATAGTCCCACACTCACAGGCAGTCACACACTCACCAGAGACAGTCCCACACTCACAGGCAGTCACACACTCACACAGGGAACAGTCACACACTCACAGGCAGTCACACACTCACAGGCAGTCACACACACACTCACAGAGACAGTCCACTCACAGGCAGTCCACCGCACACACAGTCACAGGCAGTGACACACGCACACACAGACAGTCACACACACAGGCAGACAGTCACACAGGCAGACACTCACACAGACAGTCATCACACACAGACAATCACACACTCACACAGACAGTCACACACAGACAGTCACACACTCACACAGACAGTCACACACTCACACACAGACAGTCACACACTCACACAGACAGTCACACACAGTCACACAGAGACAGTCACACACTCACAGGCAGTCACACACAGACAGTCACACACTCACACACTCACACAGAGACAGTCACACACTCACAGGCAGTCACACACAGACAGTCACACACTCACACAGACAGTCACACACTCACACAGAGACAGTCACACACTCACAGACAGTCCCACACTCACAGACAGTCACACACTCACACAGAGACAGTCCCACACTCACAGGCAGTCACACACACTCACAGTCACACAGACAGTCCCACACTCACAGGCAGTCACACACTCACACAGAGACAGTCCCACACTCATAGGCAGTCACACACTCACACAGAGACAGTCACACACTCACAGGCAGTCACACAGAGACAGTCACACACTCACAGGCAGTCATACACAGACAGTCACACACTCACACACAGACAGTCACACACAGACAGTCACACACTCACAGGCAGTCACACACTCACACAGACAGTCACACACTTACACAGAGACAGTCACACACTCACAGACAGTCACACACTCACAGGCAGTCACACACTCACACACTGACCTGCTTCTTACCTCCTGCTTTGAGCTCCTAGAGGCTGGTTGTTGGGGAAGCAGGGACTCCTTCCTGCTTCCCATGCTGCAGTCAGCCGGACCCCGCCGCAGGTAAGCCCCGACCCGCCACACGCTAAGCTCCGCCCCGTCGCACTAAGCTCCGCCCCACCGCAATTTAAAAAAAAAAATTTTTATGATCCCGGCCGGCCGTGTGTGAGCTGTGCCGGCCGCCTGGCTCCCCCTGCTCCCATGGGGCTCTGTGCGGCCGCACAGCTCACACATGGCCGGCCGGGACCACAGGAGCTGTCAGACCGGCCCCAGGTGCCGCGGCCCACCGGGAAATTTCCTGGTATCCCGGTGGGCCAGTCCGGCCCTGCCTTACAGCAGCAGGTACTCCTGTAAAACATGGTGCGACTATTAACGAATTAATGGACGCCTTACTACTGGACGCCTTACTACTGCCAGAAGTAGTATCTATTCTAAAAGTCAAGACCCATGGGAAATTGAATTCAGAAGAAGCCCATGGTAACCATCTGGCCGACCAAGCAGCTAAAGATGCACCACGTCAGAATTGGGAAGTGGACAGAAGAGTGTCCAATGAGAAGACCCCTATTTACACTATGCAAACCCTACCCACTGACCTAGATTCCTGAGAGAGAAACAGGCCGCTGCTACCCCACAGGAAAAACAAAGCTGGAAGGACAAAGGAGCAATTATCCAGAATGATATATATACAATCAACCTCATATTCTGTCTACCCAAGAATATGTACCCGGCTGACGTCCAATGGGCTCATGGACCAGCACACTTGTCAAAACAACTCATGAACTCCTTGATTGATAAATATTTCGAAGCACCTGGGATCACTACCCTAACTCGAAACTACTGCCGGTCATGTACTATCTGTGCTAAATGCAACCCAGGGAAAATAATCAAAGCTGCAACGAATCATTTGGCCAAACCACAATATCCCTTCCAAAGGATCCAAATTGACCATATCCAAATGCCGAAGAGCGGCCGTTACGAGTACGCACTGGTCATAGTGGATATGTTTTCAGGGTGGCCAGAAGCTTTCCCGGTTGCCAACCTTACCGCAAAGACTACCGCTAAACACCTACTCACAGAAATTATCTGCAGATACGGAGTCCCTGAAGTAATTGAAAGTGATCAAGGTACATCTTTCACCGCATTACTGACCAGAGAAATCTGGGCAGCACTGGGGGTGACCCTTGCTTTCCACACACCCTATCACCCACAGAGTAGTGGTAAGGTAGAATGCATGAATAGCACTCTGAAGGCCAGAATGCTAAATATGTCACAGGAAACTAATTTGCCCTGGCCAGAGAGTCTTCCCATAGCACTCTTTAGTGTAAGGTATATCCCAAGGGGGAAGTTTAACCTATCCCCCTACGAGATTTTGTTCGGGACAGCACCCAGGTTAGGTTGTTACTTTCCACAACTTCAACTTCAGTCAGATGCAATGGTAGATTATATAACTGCACTCTCTCATGCCTTGACCAAGATCCATGCACAGGTGTTTTCTTCTATTCCAGATCCAGAATCCAACACAGGCACGCACAAGTTACTACCCGGTGATTGGGTTATGGTCAAGAAATTCCTAAGAAAACACACTCTTAAGCCAAGGTTCGATGGTCCATACCAAGAACTATTGACTACAGCTACCTCTGTAAAGTTGGCTGGGAAGAATACTTGGATACACGCTTCACACTGTAAGAAGGTTCCTGACCCAGAAGAAGCTGATCCCACACCAACATGAGCCCTTTATGTTTATGTTTGCTGCTAGGCCTCTTGGAGGCCCAACGAGTTGCTATTACCAAAGACAATCATGTTTACACATTTTGGTACAATTCTTCCAACACAAATGTGGCTACATTTACTTTTGATTACTGTGATATTGTTACTTGTACATTTCCACAATCACAACACTCAGCAATATACAAAGACATACCAAACAAGAAGGACCCGTACATATGTGTGACGGGCGGTCATTGGGGACATCACTGTAGTTCATGGAAAGCAGCGGGTTGGAACACAGGCCGACCATGGGGTTACAGACCGCAGACTGCCTTAAACCGAGTTGACAGACACGGGAAACCTTTGTTACACCGAATGACTTTGTGTAAACCAACAGGGTCTACTCCAATAAAATTGACCTTAAACATAGAACACCCCAGCCCAAGAGACGCCGGAGACTATGTAATGGGAATGTATTGGAAAGGGGGTGGCTCGTACAACAAGTTGGGAAAATTTTATTTGCAAGACATGTTTACATCACCTGACTGGGTAGGGTCAACACACATGACAGTAAATCATCTGAAACCACACATAAAGACTCTCAAGGACATGGTAGCTATTGCCAATCCCACATTTGAAGACACTATGGCTGTGGAGACTGGTTTTTCAGATACTAACCTATGGCTTGAATGAATGAGGTACAATGCTAACTCTCATAATAAAACCAACTGTTATGTTTGTGGTGGAGCTAGGCCCCACCTAGGTACAGTACCCCTAAATCTACCCCCCGATGTTGAAACATGTTTCTTAAGCCTCTATGCACAAACAATTGTAAATTCATCAGCATGTGAGTCATGGAAATAGGTTTACCCAATTACTCAAGGGAACACCAGACCACCGGATGGCGTCACCGTGTACCCAGGTAATTACACTTCCTACACAATACACGGAGCCACCGGTAGATTTGTAGGCAAATTTCCTTCTGGTTACTGTGCAACTTACCGGAATCCACTCACATCATTATTGGTAAATCAGATTAAGTCTGTGGGAGATATCTACTGGTTATGTGGTGACATGCAACTCAGACCAAAAATGGTTGGTTTATGGTGGGGAGAATGTACTCTAACTAAAGGTATCATGCCCATTCACAGCTTCCCTGATAACCACCAAGGTCCTCATGATTCCTCATATACATATCTTAGAGTAAAAAGAGATAGCCCTATAAGAGGTAGTTTTGACCTACACGTATATATAGATGCAATTGGAGTACTTAGGGGGGTACCAAATGAGTTCAAAGCCAGAGATGAAGTGGCAGCAGGATTCGAATCCTTGATCCCACTCATCACCGCTAATAAAAATGTCAACTGGATTAACTATATCTACTACAACCAACAACGCTTCCACATAACATTCCAAAATAGGATAGCCTTAGACATGATTTTGGCCGAAAAGGGGGGCGTATGTAAAATACTCCCCGAAACGATGACGTGTTGTACCTTTATCCCAGACAATACCGGTCCTAATGGTAAAGTGACTATGGCAATAGAGAAATTAGAAAATCTCTCTGACGAATTAAAGAAGAATTCAGGGGTTCCCAATTCTTGGGATAAATGGTTTGGATGGATGAGTGGCTGGCAAAGAACTCTTTTCCAAATAGGGATGGCAGTTCTTATCATAATGATCTTCTTCCTCTTTCTAACTTGTTGTGTGGTTCCATGTGTGCAAAGGTATTTACAAAAGACTGTAGACCAGACTATTGACCGCACCACACCCATATATATACACCAAGATGCTGATGATATTGACTGTAACACTCCACACACACCACTTCAGTCCCATCATGTCAAACAGACAACTGCTACCACTTTATAGGGACAGTATAGCGTCTGTCTCTACGGGCAGGAGTCTGACGCAGGAGATGTAGTGGGTTAGCCACTGCAGGATACCTGCGCAGTGAAGTGTTCGAGGCCTGTTAAGACAGATGAGCTGCAGCCAAATTAGGGACATTATTAGGGTCAGCTGGTAGTTGGCTGTCTTTTCTTTCTTTCGTAAATAGTAATTTTATCACATGACAGGAGGCTTCGTATTTTGCATAATCTTTCTTTACTATCTCCATAGCAGCAAAGAAAAGAGTGACAAAACGTTTAACCAATCACAACGTAGAATAGGGTATAAGAGGTGAGACCTATGACATCATTTCCTCTTTCTTTGCTGCTCCAACACAAGTTAAGTACCAAATTTTGTGTTATCTATTCTACATACACTTATTCATTTACGCCTTTGTCTATTTACGCCTTTGTCTATCACTGTACCTTTACCGCGCATTGACTGTTCGTTTCTTTCAACCGAACGCCTCGTTCGGCAGTTTTGACGCGATCGCCTTTTAGCGTTCGCATCTATTTCTATTCGCACGTTCGGCAGTTTGCATAGATCTTCTATTCACGTTCGACAGTTTTATGCGAATGGCAAGCTTACAGTTTGCCGCCCAAACTGGAGGGAGGTACTATCCTCCACACACTAAGCCTGTCAGTCCGGCGGCCATCTTAAAGAGATAGACACTGCCTGATTTTCTGCTCCTGCTATCCGGCAAGCAATTCAAAGCCTTAACCCTTTTTTCACTCAGTGGGACCAGGTTAGTGCCTTACACTTGGGGTTGGTTTAGCCAGTTGGTCTGCACCTTATTCTGGCCGGGGTGAGCCCCCATTTTACGCTGCTAAACGGTCCTGTTCATGCAGGTTCCGATCACCTGGGTGAGCCCCAGTGAATCAGCCCTCTCCTCTTCCTACGACCTACCGGTCTCTAACCACAGGTTATTTAATCCTGATACCATACCACCCCGGTCCCCAGGCCTCTCCATTAATCGTGCCTAAGTGCCCTCACGCAATTTACCGGGTGAGCCCCGAATCCTCATTCCTTATAATGGAGGAATCACAAACCCCAGACCTCCAGGCCATGATAACAGCAGCCGTGGCTGCAGCCATGGAACAAGCCGCTTCCAAGTCGCTCCAGACAGACTCTGAAGTCCCCAGGCCCATCTCTAAATGGGTTCATTATAAGGCGGACTCCGAAGACTCCGATTCTTCCAGGGAACACTCCCAACGGCGAAAACGCCATTGGAAGGGCAATGTAACCCCACGCAAGGCTAAAGGGAAGGCCCCTGCTGATCGCAGGAAAGCCACGGTTCGTGCTACCCACGATGCCACACAACTTTCCTCAGGTGAGGAAGATGTAGAACCCACTCAGGCACTAGCTGTGCTGGATGAATGGCAGGCGGCAGCCTCTGACCAGGGGGACTCCGACAGGGATTCCACGGCCAACTCTGACCCTTACTTCATAAGGGAACAGGGTCTGGGTGAGCCCCAGGACTCCATGGCAACATCCATGGATAACCCACAGGAGGGCTCGGAGATTTTCCTCGACAATTCGGGCCTCCAAATGTTCGACCCAAGAAACATCCGGCACCCCGTTCGGAAGAATGGTCACCACCTGAGCATTTGGCAAGGTTTATGCACTTCTGGCTCAGAAAACCACTGGACAAGGAAGTAAGAAACCGGATGAGATCCGAATGCCCTCGCCCTAGTCTACCGGACAAAGTGACACACACCCCCGAGTTTGACCCGCTCATGACCATGTTCATGTCCCGAGGGGGTCGGGATCCGCGCAAGGGCATAGAGCGCGGTTTTAAAGGAGCGCAAGATAAGCTTCTAGATGCCATTGGGCCACTAGCCAGAATCATGGATATGGCGGATGAAGCCTATGAGAGGGCTGACACTTTTACCCCAGATACGGTGCGTGAATGGGCACGTGATACTCGGGAATGGGCACAAAGGTGTTTCTGTTTCCTAGGGAACACCAACGTAGCCCTCTCTTCGGAGAGGCGCCGAGCAGCACTTTACCGTATCGACGAAAAATTGGTCGAACTGGGGGACAAAGAATTAGGACCCTTAGCACATGGTAAATTATTTGGAGAGGCCTTCCTTAAGGAATTAAATAAAAGGGTCAACATATTCACATCCCTTAACAAGGCACAATCTTCAATGCGGAAAGTCTTCAATGCGGTTCCCACACCCGTGGTGTTTTTGGAAGGGCTGGACGGCAGAGGGGCCGTGCCGCCAGCCGTTTTTGGCCATCCGGCCCCCGTACAACAAGGACTCAGCAGATGTTCTACCCAGACTCATCTACTCGAAATAGATTCCACCAATTCAGGGGATCTGATCGTGGCCGAGGCACCCGAGGACGTTCACGAGCAAGATTCTCCAACGGTAAGTCGGAATCTTACTCTTCCTCTAACCCCCTGTCATATCGCAGGTCGTGTTTCTCTTTTTTTCCAGAACTGGAAAGAACTATCTTCAGATGCGTGGATAATCCAAACGGTGCAGGGCTATCGAATAGAGTTCGACTCGACCCCGCTCCAGCTGGCCCCTCCACGTCCAATCCAGACTACACGGGCAGATGCCCGCCTCATAGACGCGGAACTCCGAGAACTCCGCTCCAAGGGTGCCATCCAACCGGCTCCGGATGCCACCGGTTTCTACAGCAATATCTTCCTGGTCAGGAAGAAAACAGGCGAATTTCGCCCCGTTATCAATCTCAGGGAGCTCAATTCGCACGTGGTATATCGACATTTCAAAATGGAAGGTATACATCTCCTCCGGGACTTGCTTCGACGCGACGACTGGTTCACTCGTCTGGACCTCAAAGATGCGTACCTTACCATTCCGGTACACAGAAGCAGCCGTCCCTACCTCCGCTTCTTCTGGCACGGGATCCCCTGGCAGTTCACCTGCCTCCCGTTTGACCTCAGCTCGGCCCCGTGGTGTTTTACCAAGATTATGAAGCCGGTAGTGGCAAAGATCAGATCCCAAGGCATAAGATGCATCATCTACCTCGACGATATCCTGATCTTCGACGAGGATGCAGACACTCTGCGGAGACATACGGAATACGCTCTACACCTTTTGGACTCTCTGGGTTTCGTCGTCAACCGTCCCAAGTCCACATTGACCCCGGCTCAATCAGTTCAATTCCTCGGATTCGAAATAGACTCCACATCATGCACTCTTCACCTCCCGGCTACCAAAATTACTGCAATCCGCAGGGAGATCCGGAAAGTCCTTCGTCGGACTACCATACCCCTACGATTACTGGCACGGATCGTAGGCCTTTTCTCCGCGTCCATCCAGGCCATTTTTCCCGGGCCCCTGCACTACAGGGCCATGCAACGCCTCGCAGACAACCGACATACGACCAACCAGTTTCCTGCTATAATTCTTCGGTTCTCCAGGAACCCTGTCGCAGACAACCGACATACGACCAACCGGTTCCAATGTCGGTCGAAGTTCGGGAAGAACTACACTGGTGGCTGAATTGCATGCAGGCTTGGAATGGCAGGGCCATATTCGGGAACCAGCCAGACTTCGTGCTGGAATCAGATGCCAGCCGTTCAGGCTGGGGGGCAACAGACGGAACCACGTCCACAGGAGGAGTCTGGACTTCCGAAGAGCTCTCGATGCATATAAATTGCCTGGAACTCTTGGCCGGGTCCTTCGCTATTCGCAGCCTGGCAAAGGACCGATCCAACTGCTGCATCCTACTCCGCATGGACAACGTCTCAGCGGTCAGATACATCAACCGCCTTGGAGGCACTCGTTCTCGAACACTGGCGGATCTCACGAAAGAGATCTTCGACTATTGCCTACCACGCAACATCACCTTGCTGGCAGAGCACTTACCAGGAGACTCCAATACGACGGCGGATTGGTACTCACGCCACTGGCGGGACGCCAGCGATTGGCACCTGGACCCTCATATTTTCGCGCTACTGGATGCACAGAGGGGACCTCTCTACATAGACCTTTTCGCGTCCCGCAACAATCGACAGACAGAGGTTTTCTTCAGCTGGCTCCCAGACCCGGAGAGTCTCGCAACGGACGCTTTTCTCCAACAATGGCCAAGGGACGGCGCCTACGCATTCCCTCCTTTCGCAATGATAACGAGGGTCCTTCATCGGATCCGTCTACAAGGAGTGAGAATAATTCTCATCACGCCGCTCTGGCAGAGCCAGCCATGGTTTCCGGACCTTCTGGAACTCTCAATCAACGATCCCCTCCTCCTACCAGACGCCCCAACCATCCTCAGGAATCCATTGGGCCTACCTCACCCACTAGTCCTGCAGGAACGCTTGCCACTTGTGGCCTGGACTCTTTCCGGGGTTCCTGGAGAACCGAAGAATTATAGCAGGAAACTAAGGACCTGCTATGGGACTCATGGGCACCAGGAACTAGGAGGTGCTACTTGTCAGCATGGCACTCCTGGACAGGTTGGTGTATGGGACGGGACCTCAATCCCTTTACTGCACCTACTCACTCCATCATGAATTTCCTGACTTCACTTTTCACCGCCGGAAAGTCATACCGTTCCATCAACCTGGTACGGTCAGCCATCTCAGCGGCTCATACTCCGATACAGGGGATTCCGGTTGGCAAGGACCCGCTCATCTGCAGACTTCTCCGCGGCATGCGCCTACGGCGCCCCCCGGAACCTAAATATTCTAGTCTCTGGGACGTTGGTGTGGTCCTTCAGTTTTTACGCAATTGGCCTCCCAACGAGAAACTATCACTCCGCCAGCTTACCGCAAAATTCACCCTCCTGCTCTGTCTGGTTTCCTTTCGACGGGTAGCGGATGTACGCGCCTTTGACGCCAACGCATTTACTTTCTGTCCGGCAGGTGTCACCTTTCGGATCTCACGTCGCACTAAGTCCAACTCTCACTCGGTCTTCTACCCTTTCTTCCCTTCTGACCTGCAACTCTGCGTGG